GTAGTTACTGGAACCCATAGACATCTACGACGTAAATGCACCACCCATCTTGAGATATAACTTCTAAAGTCTCAAGTATAGTTACAACGGCTGCCCCACCCTTCAAACTGAAACACATTACTGCTTCACGGCAGAAATAGGCAGAGTGGTGGTACCTACCCGTGCGGACTCACAAAAGGTCCTACTACCAGTAATTACCCAAATTATAATTTTGCGGGTTTGATTTTTATTACACGATGTTGTTCCTCCACCGTGGAAGTCAATCGTGAACATTTATTAAGTACGTATTTCATTAGAAAAATTGGTACCCACCTGGGATTCGAATACCGGTACATCGCTCAACACAAATGCACCCCTTATCCCTTAGGCCACGACGACTTCACTAGAAGTCGAACTCTTTGTCCCATTCACGAGGTACTTGTAATGGGAGAGAACCCGAAAGGATATTAAGTACCAGTTTTTTATGTCGTTGTGACCAATTAGAGAAGTTATCAATTAAATATTTTTATCGCATAAATGTAATATATACAGGTGTGTTCCAAATTTCATTCGCGCTTCAAAATACTCATAACTCTTTCATTGTGTCGACTTAATAAAAAAAACAAAACAAAAACCATGTTTATTGATACCTCAATCGATACCACATTTCAATTAGTTAAGCGATTATTCGGACCATCCCACACGAACGCGCATACAAACAGACAAAAGCATGTTTGGTATATCTGTATCGAAATAATAATTAGCATTTACTTTCGCACTCTACCTTTGTAACGTGTGCATCACATCATATTCTTTTTAGTGACAATAAATAAAAATAAATAAGCAAAGACAAAACAGATAACCCTTTTTTTCTCCGGGTGTCAACAGATATTTTTTTTTGTATCATCATACTAAAAAAGCATAATGAGGGATAAATGCATTCCGGGTCGTGACCCCGGAGGGGATCAGACTCTTGAGCGAAGAGTGCAGGGAAGTCGCTTAGGGGGTAGGGCTCTGAAAACATCCTTGGGCCGGCGGTTCGCAGTCGAACCAGTACCACATACGCAGCGCGCCCCCTGGGCGCGGGGACCTCGTAGGAAGTTCGGCCCTCGGCCCGAAAAAAAAGGGATAAATGTATTCCTCTTCACTATTCCTTACTGGCTTCCACCTTACGTTATACGTAGTGAAGCTTGTTTTCGATGTCCTTGGGCACCAATTACGTCATACTACGTACTCGTGCCCTCAAGCATTATCTCGAAGATCTCGCGATAAAAATATTCATACGTTAATGTCTACTGAATAAAAAAAATGTTATTTAATATTTTTGTGACTTTCATGTGTCGACTATTCTAAAACAATTAAAAAATGTATGTGATAGGTATTATCTACAATACTTACAAAAATTTTAAAAACAATAGTTGAGAACATGTCATCCGGCCCCATATTAGGATTTCCAGTGTTGTGGGAGCAGAAACCGACAAACATACTTAATACTTATATACATTCAAAAACATACATATATAGATAATAAACACCCACACAAAGAGCAAACAGAGCAAACAAACCGCTCATCAGACAATGTTTCTCCGATCTGGGAATCGAAAGCACGACCCTCGTCGCAACATGCAGTGCTACTACTCACTACTGCTACATCACCGTGTCCGCCTTTTAAATGAATCAGAACTATTACATTTGTTTACATTATAAATATAACATTGTAAATGTGAAAGTTTCCATGTTTGGATGTTTGTTATTTATTTTTATTTTTTTATTGCTTAGATGGGTGGACGAGCTCACAGCCCACCTGATGTTAAGTTTTACACCTTGTTTAAATTTTATTTTTTTTATTTTTTTTATTGCTTAGATGGGTGGACGAACTCACAGCCTACCTGGTGATAAGTGGTTACTGGAGCCCATAGACATCTACAACGTAAATGCGCCACCCACCTTGAGATATATGTTGTAAGGTCTCAGTATAGTTACAACGGCTACCCCACCCTTCGAACCGAAACGCATTACTGCTTCACGGCAGAAATAGGCAGGGCGGTGGTACCTACCCGCGCGAACTCACAACAGGTCCTACCACCAGTAATTACGAAAATTATAATTTTGCGGGTTTCACTTTTATTACACGATGTTATTCCTTCACCGTGGAAGTCAATCGTGAACATTTGTTGAGTACGTATTTCATTAGAAAAATTGGTACCCGCCTGCGGGATTCGAACACCGGTGCATCGCTTCAACACGAATGCACCGAACGTCTTATCTTTTAGGCCACGACGACTTCTCACGACTGTTACTCAAAAACGCAAAAATGTGAGAACGGATTTGTATGAAACGTTACACAAATCATCATATTATTTCGTCAATATACGTCAATTAACTAGATTAACACATAGGATACTTTTTATCATGGTAAATGTCAAAAGCCGGACTGGAAAGATTTATATGGTACAGTAAATACAACAGTGTGTTTCGCTGGTACAAGAGTTTAGGTACTTACATAAAAACGACAGATAGTTTAAGGACCAGAGAGTGACAAGCAACTCTTTATCCCGAGAAAATGCAATTGCTTAGTTTCTTCTAAATTCCAAATTGAATACGAGTTACGCCGCGGGGAACTACTAGTATAAGTTATTTATAACATAAAACATATATATTTTTTAAACAAATATGTAAATTGTATACACTTGTACAATCAAATGTAACATCAACATAAATTCACTGTAATTACAACCAGTGGCATAAAACCGTTGTTAGACCGGATAAAACGGCACTAAGCTTGTAAATTTACGCGATTAATTAAAAAGTAAAAAATGAAGCTGTCACGTTTTTATTGAACGGCCTGAATTCGATTATCATCTTAATTAATTAATTAATTACTTTATTAATAGGGTTAAGAACTGGAATGTTTGTCAATATTGCGTTATATTAATATCACTTCAATATGAAAGTTTCAGATTTCTACAGTGATAATGTCGTTATGTAATACTTCAATAATACCGTTGTAACTTACTTGAGACCTTAGAACTTATATCTCAAGATGGGTGGTGCATTTACGTAGTGGATGTCTATGGGCTCCAGTAATCACTTAACACCAGGTGGGCTGTGAGCTCGTCCACCCATCTAAGCAATAAAAAAAATAAAAAAATAAAATTTAAACAAGGTGTATCTTGTACGGAACTGAAACTGAAAACTTTATACATATAATGATTTAACTAAATCCAAAACCTATGGTTTGAATCTGTTCTTATTTTTGGAGCCCGTACTGTCTAGCGTAATATCGGAGTCGTCCATTGCGCCCCGTATAAACGCGGATCGTGCTAGCTGATTTATTAGTGATACATTGCTTGCCATTCAAAAAAACATTTTTAGGAAACGGTTCCAATGAGCGCCCCTGTATATGGATTCCATAGAGAACCGAACTTTTCCCGAAGCCAAAACTGCGACAAAAGTATGTCAACACAAATAACGGAACGCAAGAATCGTCTGATAAGCCAACCATAAATACTTGTAGTTTTTTGCTAACCTGTAATTATTTCTTGAGCCCTGAAGCACGTGCAAATGTTAGTATTATCTAGTGTACTGTTTACATTGACTTGCTCTTTGGCTATGGTAGCACGAACAATTTCTAAAAGCTTTTTTTTTTATTGCTTAGATGGATGGACGAGTTCACAGCCCACCTGGTGTTAAGTGGTTACTAGAGCCCATAGACATCTACAACGTAAATGCGCCACCCACCTCGAGATATAAGTTCTAAGGTCTCAGTATAGTTACAACGGCTACCCCACCCTTCGAGCCGAAACGCATTACTGCTTCACGGCGGAAATAGGCGGGGTGGTGGTACCTACCCGTGCGAACTCACAAGAGGTCCTACCACCAGTGAAAACTCCAATGAAACTCCAGTGGAAACCAGTGAAAGTGAGCTCTTCTCTAAACTTCTCTACTATACTCTCTCGCGTTGAAATAAAAATTTCAATCATAATACTTTAACTTCCATTAGCATGCAGTATAGTAAAACCAATTAAACCAACCAGATCAGATTGCAGATGTATCAATCATACACCTGAGTCACTGGCTAAGCAGGATTCGCTATTCAGGCGTATGACAGAGTAATTACAAGCCCCGATAAATTAAAATTCACTACAAGAGCTTTCATACACACGTTAGTATTAAAAAATCTCACAGATGGCGCTGTATTAAATAGTATGTATATTTCTGTCTCATTCATCCTACACATTTTTGTATTTGTGTCTCTTACCTGTCGTTTTTTCCGTTGCATCCGGTTTGAAATCACAACGATTCTAAAGAAGTTTTCACTTCAAAATACTTTTACTATTTAAACTCACATTATTTATTGTCATCATATTATTTCCGATAGTTTTCGTGTTCACGTACGACTCGCGAAACCAAAAGAAAATATATCTAGTACTTATTAAGACATTGTGTATAGAAGTTCGAAATGAATTATGTTGTAATTTCTGCCATCAATGGACATATTCATACGATTTAATCATGTAAATTCTTCTAGTTGATCGTCGAAAGTATATGTCATTGGTTGTAGATATGTACATGTACAGCCTTAGTTATGGCGCAAGGCAGCTGCGCCTATTGTTTATAGACACGCACCTATGGTTTATCGGCCTATTCAAAATGGGTAAAAATTTATTTTAACCTCTGATCAAATTAGCACATTCTAGAATTTAGAGATTCTGCTCGTTTTGGTAGCTAAGCGCCTCACTAAGGTTAATCCCTTAACATAAAACGGGCCGTGAGTATGTCAAAAGCAGATAAATCTAAAAAACCCTATCATTAGTTTCAATACATACTAGATTTCCAAAGCAAAACATTTATCATAATGATTGTGATTGATGTTTGTCCCAAATATCAAAGTAGTTGAGACGACAAATTTTCTCTTGAATTACGAATGAATAAATAAATTTTCGCGTACTTCGAGCAACCCGTGTCTGTCACCTTTATATTGTTATATTTTATTAACAAAAGGTTTTTTTTTCTTTCAGATACAAGCAGAAGAAGTATTGAAAAAGGTACGTTTGTTTTGAATTAAGACTATTGTTCTTAAATTTAAGATGAATGTTTAATGATGCGTAACTTATGCATGAACTCGTGCAGTTTGTTTCTCTCTGTATTTTTGTTCGAGATATTTTGCATTACGCGAATGTATTGGTATTTATTTCTCTCGTTAGTAAAATTTGACGACAATGACGACAGTGGTATCTATTGAGTCTTGATAACCGACTAACTATAGATGGGTTCATGAACCAGTAGATAAGATAATTAAAAAACCATCCCTAAAAAACACGCAGTTCTGATTGTCTTTTAAAGTTAGTTAGTTGTTTTTTTTTTCTATGTAAAAGGGACTTACAACTAGTAGAAAAAAACGGAACAAAAACGGACCTAAGTTTATAGGTACAAAAAGTTTATACTTATAAGTGTGCGTACCGTACCTTATTTTGTATTTGTTGTATCTGACAATATGTTAAGTATACTAAACATAAAAAGCCTATTCTCATAGCTGTGAAGGAAATCTTAAACAAAACATAAACTGTTAACTTTTGCCGACTTCTGCACAATTTTATATAATTTTTTACTTTACACATTAACAAAATATTGTATTAGTCAATTCAATTTGGCTATTACGTCTTTTTTGGGAAGCCAATATAGTACTTTTACATTGCATTTACAAGTGATAATTTTTATATTTAGAACCAATTTAATTGAGTTGTAATACATAATATAAGTTTTGCGTCACATTAAAAACGAAAGCCAATAAATTCTTGAAGTATGTATATATTTTCGTAACTATACCGCACTACGCTGCGACGATACTCAGATAAGAGCAAGTAAAACAAGTGAAAATTGACCCAAATTCTGGCCCAGTGGATCGGGGTGAATGGCGCTGCGTAAACAATACGCACGTTTTAAAGTGAGGAACTGTATTGTGCAACCGCGGCCCTACGCGACTACTTACGAGCTCAATGACTTTGCGTTCTGAATGACTGCGTTGTACTTTGTATAAAGGTATAAACGCAATGTTTGTATAACGCCACCGAATATATTAATCGAATGATATTCAAAACTATTTCAACTTGCAGTAATTAATTAGCAAGTAATTGCTTAGTGATTCTCTGATTAAAAATTTTATGAATTTGTTGTATTATTTATTAGGAAAACAAGGTAATTGAAATTAAAGATAGGTGATGGTACTGATGTAAAAAAACATTATTGTCATTATTGTCATAATGTTTTTTGTGTTACAAGCAATGAAACACAATATGTTTTTTGTTTTTTTTTTATTGCCTGGATGGATGGACGAGCTCACAGCCCACCTGGTGTTAAGTGGTTACTGGAGCCCATAGACATCTACAACGTAAATGCGCCACCCACCTCGAGATATAAGTTCTAAGATCTCAAGTATAGTTACAACGGCTACCCCACCCTTCGAACCGAAACGCATTACTGCTTCACGGCGGAAATAGGCGGGGTGGTGGTACCTACCCGTGCGGACTCCCAAGAGGTCCTACCACCAATGAAATGATGAACCAGTGAACACAATATGAGCTGATGTATCTCAAATTGAATTCGAGATATGAGTTTACTAAAACGATAAGTATTTATGTTTATATGAGGAAATAAATGTTAGGTTAGGAATAGGTAGGATTGTTCCGAGAAGGTTCTTTTACACCATAGTTAGTATAAGAGGGTAACTTTTGTGATAGCACATATATCGAAAACTCATTAAAAACTACCTATAAAGTAAGCATATCGTATACTTGAGTCGTCTATTATCAAAGCCGGCAATCTGACTTTTGGACAATTATTGGTAAATCAGAAAAACGAATTATTGACTTTGTATTCCATTGGCAGTCACAAAACTCTTCGGAACGACATCTTAGATAAATAACAGGTTAACTATTAACCTTTATTTAATGCAGGTTTTGAACCGTATTCTTTGAAGGATACGATTATATTCAAATCAATCTGAATTGACATATCAATAAATTTTTTTTGTCCAAATGTACAGATTGCCACCTTTGATAATAGACGACTCACTTATGTAGTAAATAATAGGTGAATGCTTAGGCATTCACCACATTGCACCCCTGTGCATAAAATTGAATTAAAAAAAGACATATGAACGCAATCTTTGAAATTGTACATTTCCATTTTAGAGTTATATGTAAATGCGAGCATTTATTTTAGTGTAATATTTATTGAAATAAATACTTAATCGATCTAAATAATATAGTCCAAAGATATATAGACAAAGATTTAACACTTACATATGAATCCGATTTCGAATTACTTACTGTACATATATACTTAATGGAAGGATTTGGTAAATCTACTTTACCAGGATCATACTGCCAGATGTGTAGCACAGGAGCATTCGTGTGAACGCGTAGGCAACTAATTCACATGAACCAGCCACCAGCTTCAAAAACCTCCACCAATTCAACGTTCAACAGACATAGTTCAATAATCCTTAAACTGACCCGTAGCGAAGGGGGGATCAATGTAATCTGGTCGTTTCTACAAGCACGGATTACAGAGCACGTGTGTGGGAACATTTCAACCCCCCAAGGGATGCAAGGTGCAACCACCTCCACGAAAACTTTCCTGAAATTTAATTAACGTAATTAAGAAGCGGAATGAATACCCAACTAACTAACGTTTCAAGGAGAAAAGTAAATTGCGATTTTAATTAAAAGTTCTTACAAAATTTACGTCAATTAGTCGAGTTACACGAACGATGAAGAATTCGTACGTAATTCAATAAGACTTAACGAAATCTACAGACTTTATTGTAATGTTGAATATTTTTTATTGTGCCGATGGCCATAAGTAAATACTGAAGCAGCCAATAGATATCACAACGTAAATGTATCACCCATTTAGAAATGTTCGAAGGTGGATAGAGAGTGATGTCGAAAATAATAATTAGATAATCCATTCAAAGCACTCAATGCACAATTAGTAATTTTTAACGCCAACGCATTGCATACATCGAGTTTACAAATACATTTTAAATACCATTTAAGCATTGTGTTGCATAAAAGCTTTTGTAATCTCCACTTTGAAACAACAATATATTAAAATATGTATATATAGATGTAATATAATAAGTATGTACGGTCATTTATTTATTTCTGTTAGTGCCGCTGTTTTTTTTCCTCATTTTAGAGGTGATTTAACGGTAATAGAAATCGTGGAAGGGTATCTAGAGAAACAAAAGGAAAAGAGTTAAGATATTAAGAAATAATAACTTTGACTATAGCGTCTTTAAATTTTATTTATGACTCATTGGTGGTAAAGTCCAAAAGGTCGAAAATCCAAAAACGTGCACACCACGCCTTGTTCACAGATTTTTTGGGACCGGAAAGTTACTATAATAGTTCAAAAATCCATCAGTTACAAAAACACGTGCAAGAAACTGCACCTGTATTTGTTAATTCGCCACCTGGAAGGCATATGTGCTACGCATCCTGCGCTTAAAAGAAATGCAATTATTTGAAATCACACATCCGTTCGCACGTGTTTTGTGTCAAAACACAAAAACACTATTCGGATAACCTCAAATATGAATAACGACAAACCTTTATCAATACACATTCGCTTATATTGTCTTTCTCAGCTTTCAAGAGAGCCTGTTTCAAACTCAAAGGATAAATAAATAAGTTTTGCTCATTAAAAACCTCTTTGTAACTAAACACGCAATCAATGGCTGCAACGACCTTTAGTTTTCTTAGAGCTTATATTATCTTATATTTATATAATACTAGTGTTCCCGCAGTAGTCGAAATTCGACTATACTTAATTGGAATTGTAAGTTTGTACACTATTATGATTGTATTTTATACTTCTATAATCACAAATTTCGCCAATACTACACTATAAAAAATATTAACAAAGACAAACAATATTTAATTTATTCTCAAATTGACAACAGACGTCAAGAACAAAAGTTTGACAATAAATAGTATGCATGCGTGTGTGCGTCAAATACATGGCATGTAGTGTGCGTAATGTTTTCTTTATTGATTTAATGTCTATTTTAAGCATTATTTTAAAAAAATATTATCATTGTGCACTTCTTCTCTATATTCTGTACAAGTGTGGGAAATTTCATACTCCTCCGTCCGCGCAATTTTCGTAAAAAGGGATACAAAGTTTTTGCTTTACGTATTAATATATAGATAGCCGATGTTATATATTATCTCAATTTCATCTAATTAAAACGTACTGACATATTATCTTTCTGTCTGAGCTTAAAATGCCGAGCTAAAGTACGTCAGTATTTATAAGCCCCAACAAACAGCTTCACTCGTCTATTATAATAATTTTAAGGATTTATCAAAAACGTTATAGCTTAACTACAGCAGATTATAACTTTTTTTATTACCCTTGTATACATACGAGCATAAGGCATACGGCCCATCTGATGGTGAGTGGTTACCGTCGTGGTGGTCGCTCGTGGACAGGGGCATAGCCAAGTCGCTGCCTACAAAAAAATAACTCCCACTCCAACTTTCACGGCAGCATTGTAAATAACGATCATTATCGTCAGATCGTCTTTAATTTTATCGACAGAATATGTATGAACTGAACCGAAGTACGTCCAATAAAATAACATGATTTGAATAATACTTTAGTTAATAAGTTTCTTTACGTGAAGTACTAGGTGTGCCCTGCAGTTTTTGCTATAATTGAAATGAAATGCATGTAATTATTTTGCGATACAAAATTTAATGTAAGTGTAAAGTGTGTATAATATAATCTCTATATATAGAAATGAATTGCTGTTCGTTAATCTCGCTAAAACTCGAGAACGGCTGGAACGATTTGGCAAATTTGGTCTTGAATTATTTGTGGAAATCCAGAGAAGGTTTAAAAGTTAGACAAATATGAAAATGCTCGGAATTAAATAAAAATAACAATTTTGTTTCTCCCTTAATGTGTCCCCCAAAAGTTTAGGTCTTTTATTTATCGACTGAGGCACTACGAAGTCTGCCGGGTCAGCTAGTGT